CTGCGATTTGTTACGTAAAGGCGTACAGGCTGCTCTTCCCGCAGCGCCGGAGACGTTGCAGTCTCAAAATATATACAGAAATCCCTCTGAATTAGTCCCCCTACACCTCTTCTCCCCCCCCTCTCCCCTCAATTCGACGAATGTCAATGGAAATTCGTAATAAAGTAGGCTCAAAAGAGCTAGAACCCAGAGCCGTAAAGCCAGTTAAAAAAAAAACAACAAAATATTGTTAAAATAAGTGATTTTTATTAATTTATTTCTCAAAAAATACGTGTTTCCGCATATTGAAACTTTGTGTGTGTGCTTATAAAAATGTAACCTTTCTGTAAAAATACGTATCAACACCAAACTCGATGGGAGTAAATGGAAAGTCGTACCTTTAAATAGAATAAAGGTGACAAACGAGCACATAATCCACCTGATGGTAAGTGGATATATTGTTGCCCATAGACGTCTACATTTATCCTCGATTAAGAATCAAAATGCAGATGCGTTGTCACCTCTGAGGACTAAGACGGAATGCCTCGTTTCCTGATGTTATAAGGAGTAACTTAGGCTACTTATATTTTAGAAAAAGAATTAGGGTTCCGCGCAACATAATTAAAACCCTAAATCACACGCGGGCGAAGTCGCGGAGAACAGCTAGTCTTTAATAAATTTAATGCCCACGATATTCTTGGCCTTTGAAACTACGTTCAGCATCAACTGCCCTCATTATTAGTACAAACACAGAGACACTCGTCATTTTCTGCCCGTTTTCGGTTTAGATGTAAGATTGCAGAGAAAAATAACAGCTAACAAACGATCGCACTTGGTGGTCAATTTAATTAAATAGAAAATTAAAATTAAAAATTTTATGTGACTTTAAATGGTGCCTGAGTGTGAGAATCCACTGTCCTTTCGGCCAATTAGTGTTAAATGAATAGAAGATATGATCTACTTATAAGAATTAATATTACCGAGTTCAAAAAAACGAGAAGGTTCAATATTCGGCGCAAATGTTTTTATTGTACGATCAATGTCTTTATTCGCCGATTTTTCTGAAACTGCTAAACCGGATCAAATAATTATTTTGTATTTAATAGGTTCAGCAGTGGTCCCGTTTAAATTTAAAAAAAAACACCTCTAGGAGTTCAAAAATAAGAGTTGAAGATTTGAATATAACTATTTGGACAATCTACTTTGAACTTGTGGTTTTTTTAAGTCCACTTAAAAGGGTATAAAAATTAAGTAAAATGTTTTCCACATAGCTTCTAAAGTTACAACCATCTTCAAATAGATGAAGGGGTACGTTGTCCCTACTTTATGTTTATGTTGTAGAACCATACTGCAGCTATATTATGGTTGTAGCACGAATGGGTCGGCTCGGCCGGAGAAGGATCAAACTCTTACAGAATATTAACGTAAAATAGCGGCTCAAAAACACAGCAAATATACCATACAAAATATGATGAGTGTAGAGAACCGGAGACATTTTTACTGGAAACGAGGCATACCATCAGTCCTTTGGGGTGACAACTTTCAACGCATTTGTATTTTGATTCTTAGCTGAGTATAGATGTACACGTCTATGGGCCACAGCATCCACTAACCATTAGGGGGACTGTGTGCTCGTTGTCGCTCGTTGTCATGCTTGTGTAACCTTTTTTTATAGGATAAGAGTGACAAACGAGCACACAGTTCACCTGATGGTAAGTGGTTGCTGTGGCCCATAGACATCTACATTTATTCTCGACTAGCTGTGCCCCGCGGTTTCACCCGCGTCATCAAGTGTCCGAGGTGTGCGACATGACCTAGTTCAAGCATTTTATAACGGCTAGGGTTTAAGTGCCGTTCGCGCGCCCAGCCAAGTATTGAATTATTTTAATTTTACATTATCTCTTAAACTATGCGTCCAAATAACATGGTATAAGGAACAAAGTTTATCTTCATAAAATTGTCTTGATGATGAAGTAACTTTCATTCGTAAGGATAAATAAGCCATGCCTAATAATAACGCTCATACATCACTTTTAAATGTTCAATATTTTTTTGTAACAAAATACCTAATTATGGTTTATGTATAAGAAATAGGCATATGGTATCGCGGACTTTTTTTAGACGGAGTAAAGATCTATATTTTTCTAGAACATTGTATTTACGTATCCCTAACGATAACACCAGCGTACGCGGATAAATCATTTCGGGAGTGCTTTTTCTTCTGACTTGCTTAACAAATATCCATATTTAAGGCTAGTTGAGTAATATAGCTTAGTGCTAGATAGCCTATACTATTCCACATGAATCTGGCTATAATATACAAAAAGAATTTTTCAAATCGGACTGGTAGTTCCGGAGATTAGCGCGTTTAAACAAACAAAAAAACTCTTCCGCTTTATTATAATAGTATAGATTACGAATAAAAATGCAGATGCGTTGTCACCCGTGAGGACTAAGATGGAATGCCTCGTTTCCAGTAAAAAGGGTCTCCGGTTATCTACACTCACCATACGTAACACAGCAGTGTTAAGCTGCTATTTTACGCTGGTATTCTGTGAGAGCGTGGTCCTTCCCCGGTCGAGCCAACGCATACGTGCTACAATTATACTACTAATATAGCTGCAACATGGCTCTACCACGTAACGTTTAATTATATTTAAAAAAAAACTAAGATGGAATTTCTCTGCCTGTAATTATACTGGCCATGTTTAGACCGAAACACAGCAGAAGTTGCACTTCTGCTTAGTGATATAAATAGTTAAGTGGGCAGTACGTATCTAACTCGGAAGGATTTCTAGGCAGTAAAAGAGTTTCTGCTCTTAGTAAAATCTCTCTACTTTTACTACGCCACTATAACTCAATATTGCAACTAAGCTGAATAAAATAAATAAATAAATAATACGTTTATTTCGGTAATCTTGTTAACAACATAATACTGAGACTTCCCAGTGAGTAATCAGAGGATACTCGTGTTGGGAATGACCCGCTACTTCCCTTGAGTATTACAAAAAAGCATAGAGTTATAATTTAATAATGTACGTAGTATCTATATTAGTACATTATAACTCAATGCTTTTGGTTTGGTTGAATGGTAGAGAATGCCACAAGGCATTAAGTCCGCCCTTTATATCCTTTATTATAAGGTAGATGTAAAAAAGAATAAATAAATACATTATAACCCAATGCAAAAAAGTAAGATTACAAAAAGTTTAACCTCTTGAAAATTTGTAATTAGTATGTGTATATTAAGGAGTGTGTGAATGTGAGTGTAAGAATGTTGTTGTATGTATGATGTGGGGGTGTGTATGTATATGCTGGTGGATGAAGAAATTATAAGTAAGAAGACTAGTCGCCTTGCATAATAAAATTTTACTGATCAAATAAGAAAGACTGAGTAATGTTAGACTGTTACCTGTAAATGTATAAGATGTTGGTGAGATAGATTTCAGACAATTCTATTTAAAAGATTTTCAACTTCGTCATAAGTCAGTGTATACAACCAATGCATTAAAGCTACGTAAAGAGTTATATTATTTATTAAAATAATCCGCCACAGGGAGCGTGTTTATTGTTATCTGTAGTCTGTCGAACCACTTTGAAATAATTCAAGGTTCCTAAGAGCACTTGAGTTAAAAGTGTTTCTGTTATTGAAATAAGCAGTAACTTAATATGTTAAATTAAGTGTAACAAAAGCAAAACGCTACGGCTCAGATATATAAACTTACTGCGAGACATGAATATTATTGAAACACTAATCTTAAATAATATGATTAATTTAAAAAAATAATCATTGGCATTAAGACATAAGTAACACGTCGCGTATTGAGTAAAATTTAATAATATATTTATATTAATGGTATAATTAATAAAATATCATACAAATATTCAAGAGTGGTTGAAAAATTGACGTTATAATAAGTATGTTATTTTTATTTTAACAGACTTCAAAAGATAAGGAGGTTCTTTGAAAGATTCCATGTCCTGTTTTATATAAGTGTTTTAAGCAATCTGCGTCAATTGTAAACCAATTTTAATGATTTTTTTTTTATTTGATAAGTTATACTTTAAGGGTGGAATGTGAAAATACGACATTTTAGTGTAAATACTTAACGACATTGTAATTGTTACTTTGAGCTTCTGATACTCCTTCGTTCCCTCAAAAACAGATTCTGAAGTTGGAGCTTTATAATTACACCATATCTTTACACCGACTTCTGAAGCTGTTTTGTAGAAATTATTTTATTCTTTGAACGCTACTTTACTATTTATTAAAACTTTAATTTTAAATGCTTTACTTCCAACATTTATATAGGGAATATATTATGATATAAAACATTAGACTTTTAAGCTCTTTTTATAATTACCAACTATAACTAAATTTTGATCAAGAAGCAACGTTGTTTAGTGCTAGCTGGTCCGGCAGACGTTATTCTGCCCTTACTAGTTAATGTGTTAGCGCGATCAGTTTCATATTCACACACACACACACACACACACACACACACACACACACACACACACACACACACACACACACACACACACACACACACACACACACACACACACACACATACACACGATTCTATAGATTTGTTATACGTATAGCTAAAACCTCTTTAGAACTAATAAAATCATCAACAGCCATAATGACGATAAACTTTAAATAAAAGGAAAAATATAACCCTTTTTTTTACTCTTCCGTAAGCGGATAAAAAGTTGCCTATCTACTACCTACTAATCGTAAACATACAATTTTTCTACAGGTTTATTATACGTATATAAAAATTACTTTTTAAACTTTCTGTATGCACTTGTGTCAAATAAGATAGTTACGTAGATATAATATCTAATGTCTACGACTGTACATATGCCTCTCCGAAGTGCTTTGTATATACTGCTATTGGATTTTGCAGACAATCCATTATAAATCCACGCAAAGTCATATCAAATAATTTTCAAATATAAACTGTGTAAATCCATGTTAACGTAAAAAAAATTAAATGAAAATAAATACTTACTTTGCCGGTTGCGGTACGATAGTGTCATAATTGAAAGATTGCAGCAGTTTCCCGACAGCCTCATTGATCTCCAGTTTCTCGCAAGTGCGTTCACGGCTTTGTTCCCAACTCATTTCGGCTAAGTACGCGATTGATTCTTGAAACTCGTATAAACACGAACGCGGAAAGCTACGCGCGTCCGTCGACTTGCGCGAGCGGTCTATAAAGAGTTCCTTATGTTCCGCGCAATACTATAAAAGCTCGAAGGGGCGCGCGCGCACCGTTGTCTCCAAACCGCGTTGTTTACTTCTCATTTCAATAAAAAATATCTGGATAACTCTCATTTTAAACTAAACGTAGATATACAGGGCAACGTGAAAGTATGAATATTTAGATTTTGTAATAAAAATATGATGAAATTATGTTCATTATCTAATTTACAATAATACTATAGGTAAGTACAATGGTTTGATTTTACTTTTGTATACCTACATTCTATCTTAAAGATACCAAAATAAGAAGAAAAATTTTATTAACACTGAAATGTAAATGTTATTTTTGACTTTAAGATTCTATGCGAAACATGAACCATTTGCTTCGCATATTTACGTAATTCTACTATTTATGTATATTAATGTGAAACATCAGTTATCGCGCGCTAAAGCAATCAACATCATTTGTCATAGTTTTGTTAATATAAAGTGCCTCGTAAAGTGCGGCTGAAGATTTTCCGAATTTTCCTGCTACGTACAGAGTTGAGTGGGCGGAGTGTGGACCCGCCTCGCGCCACCATTGGCGCTAGTGGCCGGACACTGTGACGTCATTGCGCCCGCGCCGTTATCTCTTCGCTTACTGGAGAAACGAATGTGCACCGACAAACACACGACAAAAGCTTTATCTTGCGTAAAGATTCCTATTTTCATATAGTTAGTATATGTATAAGCCACAAAGGATATCAATTTATTTATTCATCCTTTATTGCGAACACCTTCAACTAGGGCTTACAAAAGTTGGCCTTGTGGCATTCTCTACTTTTTTAGTTTGTATATAATTCTTATTCCTTATAATTTTTTATAAATAATAATTTTGATTTCATTAATTCTTTCATTTATTACAGCCTAACATAAGCCCACTGCTGAACATATTGTACTCCCATAGATTCCTCAGTAGGGGGGATCCCCCTAATATACCGTACCGTACCTTGATACCGTAGTAATTTCTAGCCGACTCCAAAAACACGGAAGAGGTTTTCCATTCGACTAAGTATGTTATGTTCTTTTCTATTTATTTATGTAACGAAATATTGTCTTTAATTGTGAACCTATTTTAATAATTCTTTTTTTTGTATAATAAATTGTAACTTCAAGGTGGTCATATATAAATTTGGACAAAATATTCGATCCCCAAGGGTGGGAAAATAGGGGATGAAATTTTTAGCGTAACTATGTAGATGACATTCTAGTTGTTTTATTGAGTTTGTGATATTTCTTGTCCACTCAAAATGTTAAAATATTAAACTTTTAATAAAAATTAAACCCCGAGTTCAAAAAACTAAAAAGTACACAAATAATAACTAATGAAGTCGGTACTAAGACATACATAGTATAGATATAGAAAAGCTAAAGCCCCGATGTTTAATTTTTAATGAATTTGAGCAAATTAAGATAGACCTAGCATTACGGTAATTGATAAATGCAATTTGCTTGTTTATCGTGAGGAAACCTGAAAGAACGAGTAATAAAGTATGTATTGAAAATATCAGCAACCAGCCAACACGCATTGGAGAATTGGTGAAGCGTCGCAGACTTTTCACCGCGTAATTTTTCTCTCAACGATGAGAGGTCTGTGACAGGCGAACATTTATAGGCTGTTCCTTACGGTATAAGTTAGTTATTCAGAACACACCTGTAAATATATGTAAATATAGAGGCGTATGTGATGAATGCCTCGACCAACTTTCAGAATATGAACCTAGTGTAGCCAAAATACTCGTAAGTCACAACACGTGTATCGTGCGGTATGCAAACCCGCTGGCCAGCAGTTCTGCGACTACATGCTTAACCTCTACGCTATCAAGCCGTCCTATTAGATTATTTTACGCTACCACTACACGGCGTGTAATAATTAAATTTAAAAAAAAATGTATGGCTGTTGGGTTCGACTAGAGAACACAGAAATTAGTTCTCCCGTCGCACTCTACCTAGTGTATATAATAGTAGTATATAATACATATACCAATAATAAGTTCTATTGAACTGATATAATACGTATACAGTTCTATTCTGTTCTTGACAACAAGTATTTAATGCGATCATTTCGTATATTTAAAAAAAATAGCAATAAGTCCTTTAACACAAAATAAATTCCTTGTTTTGTAAAATAAATGACATGTATCTACAAAATTAATAAAAAAAATATATTAATTTGAAAGCAAATAAAATTATATTATTAATTTTTAAATTATATTATTAATTTATTATTATTAAAATGTCATAAGTATCACTAAGCTAAACTAATAATGAAAATTTCTTTTCTAACCTCTAAACCTTTACTTACATGCTAAGTTAAGAAATGAAGGTGAAACACATAGTCCACCTAATGGTAAGTAGATGATGTATCCCATGGATACCTAGAATCGAGGATAGTTGATTGATGAAGAATCAATATGCAGACACGCGGTTCCCCTTGAAAACTAAGACTGTCACCTACTGCTATTTTACACTAATATTCTGTGAAAGTATGGTCTTTTCACGTGACACGTGCTGTAGCTAAGCACGCTACAACGTGGCTCTATCAAATAATAGATACATGTTGAAAATATACTCATGGACATAATATTTAGAAGAACACAAAAAAAGCGTGTGTAAAACATCATCTATCCATAATTATTTCTTATATTTATGCGAACACTACACATTGAATAAAACTATTTTTACGATTTTTATCGCGTTTAATTTACTAATTTTAATTCCCGACATTTCGGGTGCTTTACAGCAACCCATGGTCACATGGGGGACTGAGATGTTTGAAGTCCCGATGTCACAGTTAGCCCGGTTAACCTTATTTATTTATTTATTCTTTATTGCATTCCTCAAAACAAAAGAATACAAAGGGCGAATTTAATACCTTGAGGCATTCTCTACCAGTCAACCCATGGAGTGGTGAGAATTTGACGTAAGTGTGGCAATATAAAATAAAATAACACTACACAAAATAATGAATAACTACATAATACATACAATTTACTAATAAATAAACTATACATATATGACGTATACATACATATATACAAATATATGGCATGTATATACAAATATATATACATACAAATATATATATATAATTAGTACATACAAATACCTATGAATATATGCGTCTGTTTAGCAATACATATTAAATGGATGAATCATATAAAATGCGTTGTCTTCAATAGACGGACCAATTTTTTAAAAGCATACTTATTGGGTGCTTTTCTGATGTCATCGGGCAAGGAGTTCCAAAGGCGTGTAGCCTGATCTATGAAGGAGTCACCATAGAACTCGGTGAAGTGAACAGGAATATAGATTTTGTTGTTAGAAGAAGAACGTAGGGCCCTATCATGAGATGAGGAGAGATAGTGAAATTTACTCTTAAGATAAGAAGGCGAAGATGGGTTATTTAAAATGGAAAAAGAACAAGCAATATGCTGGAATTGCGCCTCTGGCGGATTGTAAGCCAATTTAGCTTAGATCTATATTGCGAAATATGGTCATACTTACGAAGCTCAGAAGATCTTGGGACAGATCTGGGTAACACACATCTGCATAATCAATTATGGGTAATATGAGCGACTGGACAAGCATGATCTTCGATTTTGTGGGAAGAAAATGTTTTAAACGATACAGAGAGCATAAAGTGGCAATGACTTTACGACTCACTTCTGAAACCTGGGTTCTCCAATTCAACGTGCTGTCGATATGTAGGCCAAGATTTTTAACAGAATTACTGAACGGAATTTTAATACTATCATAATAAATAGGAGGTAAATCTGCTAGATTAATCTTAGCTAGCATTCTTGAGCTACCACCAGTATAACTTGGCATTTCAAAGGATTGACCAAAACTCCATAACGAGTAGACCAATCTTTGATAGCTGATAAGTTGTCGTTAAGTTTTTTGATCCCATTATTGATATCCCCAATTTCAGCTTGCACATAAAGCTGAAGGTCGTTGGCGTACAAATGATATGAGCAGTCGAGGGTGGAGGTAATAAAGTTTATGAAAATTGAAAAAATTATGGGAGAAAGAATAACGCCTTGCGGCACACCAGCATCCACATCAGCTCAAACTGGGGACATTTTCCCCACACAGACTGACTGCTGTCGACCGCGAAGATAAGATGCAAACCATTCCAAAGCATTAGGACCAAAATTCAGATGAGATAGTATGGAAAGGAGGATTTCATGATCAACTGTGTTGAAAGCATTTGAGAAATCAACTAGTACCAGTACTGTACCTTCAGTTTTTGAATATTAATTTTTGGTTCGATCTACGCAGAATGAGCTTAAAGTATCTTGAAGTCTTGCAGTGGTATGCTTGGGTTTGGATTTAATTTTGTTAAATATAGGATCCCAAGCAGATGGCAGCACCCATCAATCTTCTCTACTGAAATTAGTATGTTTTTTTTTTAATTTCAATAGCCTCGCGTATCATCCTTGGTAGGAATCGATGTTCTTTTGCGAGGATTTGTGGTTGTGGTGATGGCGGGGACGATCTTGAACATGTTCACAAACTGCAGACTTCCCAGAGCGTCGGTGTCTCACGTCAGCTATATGTTCTTTCACGCGGGTTTTAATGGATCTTTTTGTTTGTCCTATGTAAAGAGACCACATTCGCGATCAAGCTTGTACACTCCTGCATCTTGACAACATCTTGCAATACTTGCTCGACGTGCTGAAGCTCGGCGACCAGATGTTTTCTGTCACTGATCCTTCGTGCTTTCTAAAACAAAGATTTTCCCACGGTAGCTAAATGTGATGGATGATGATTCGATTCACCATTTAAATATCCCTTGGTTGGGTGTTATTCCTATATCCTCCATCCTATATCCTCCATCCTATATTACAATCCATCCATCCATTACAGTCTATAAAAGT